TGGTTTATTTTTTACTGAGAATGAATTACATGAACGAAATGAGTACGTGAAATAAGTAATTGATTCAATTTTTTTTACTGAGAATGAATTACATGAACGAAATGGGTACGTGAAATAAGTAATTGATTTATTTTACTGAGAATGAATTACATGAACGAAATGAGTACGTGAAATAAGTAATTGATTCAATTTTTTTACTGAGAATGAATTACATGAACGAAATGGGTTACAATACTTCATGTTTACTCGTCTGGCCCTGAAGAAAGTTTATGTAAACTATAGCAGTAAATCTCATCTTATGTATCGGAGAAATCCATTCCAAACGTCTTGTTACACTTGTTTTCTGTACTCGGAGCTTTCAACATCCTCCAGAGTAATAAGCAGAACTGTGCCTGATTTATAATAGACATACTTTAATTTTCTATGCATCTCTATTATCTACCATAGTTCAGAGAGTATCAAAAAATTAGCAAGAAGTTGAAGGACAATTATTTACTATGGTTAGAGAGTATTGTTCATTACTTTGTTTGTAAAATTTTGACATACTTCAAGTATAACGTACTAATAACACCTGCATTGGATGTAGTCTAGTGGATAGGGGAGGGGGTGCAGCTCGAAGGGTTCTAGGTTCGAGACATAATGCCATCTTTCAGTTGTAGGCGCTTTATAAAAGTGAGGGTCAACCCCTCTATTCCCTTCTTAGAGCAGGAGAAAGTTAGTGAAAATGTTCCTATTTATTATTCTCATAGATTTGCTGATGAAGGAATATGTATAATTCCGAAACGTTCAACTATTAAAGATGCTTACAGCGGTTGGCGTGGCTCTAATCTTTATCATCAGTCTTCGTTTTCCATCAAATGAATAAATTATTAACGATTGAAAGCTTTGTGCTCAACTAAGAAAAAAAGATAGTGGATTATCATGTTAATAGTCTAAGTCTTAAAAACCAGAATCTATATTCGGCAGCATATCTAAAATATTACAACTGTTTTTAAGTATGTTATATAACAGAATTTAAAAGGTCTTTGAAGTTCGGAAAATCAATACATAATTGCTTAACTCTTTATTTTTGTAGTTTAAATGTGGCTTGTTTGAATGTAGTAACTGGAAAATGAGATTCGATTGTCCATCTGAAATGTTTATCTTATTAAGAATATTAAAAAAAATCCAGATTCAAATATTACAAAATCTTCTACTTTATTGACGCCAAATATTGTTTTTATGGGAGTGTTTAATTAAACTCAACTTGATGCTATGTATTATAATAATTTGTCATTTATGAAGATTTCATGTGCGTTTAAAATGCTTAAAGTGTAAAAGAAAATTCATATCCATGTTTTATTACAATGTACGAATTTTGAAAAGTCTATTTATTTTGAGCCTAACATCATGCATGAATCGGTTGTCGTTTATAATTTCTCTACCATTTAAACAGTGACATCCTTTGTACTTCATAGCTAAGAGAAATTTCCAATGAATCTTTAATTGGAACTCTTCCTGACCTTGAAGTTATTTTTACCGGTAGCAAAGTTTTATTTGTTATTTATAAATGATAAATAGGCGTGTTTTATGTTACTTTGTTACTTATAAACGAGATATACGCATGCATTATGTTACATGTGACGTGTAAATGATAAATATACGTGTATTGTGTTGTTTGTTACATATAACTGATAAATCCACGTGTACTATGTTACATGTTATTATAATACGTCATATGTTAAAGGACGTAACTAATTAGGTTTTAGGGCTACTAACAATCTATGGGATGAAAAGGTACTTTTGCCCTACGCACCAGTTTTGATCGAATTGCAGTTGTCAATGTTATGATAATTCTGATGTTTTCACTGTTCAGGATTCACCACAAGTCGTGTTTGTAAATTTCCAAATCACGTGTTTCCTTTAATTATTTTCTAGAATAAGAACAGGACTGCACGTGTATTTTCCGAATTTATACTATCAGAAAACTGAGGAGGTTCCAACATACAGCGTAAGTGGTAATTAAGCTCATAATTGTTTTGATGAATTAATTTGAGGGATTTTTATAAATAAATGGATCAATGACAATTTTAACAACGACTTCAATTCATCATTTTTTTAGGCAAAAAGCGTTATTTAAACAAATGAACACTAACAGAGACCGATGAGTAGTTAACAGTTAACACTTCGGAAGAAGTCTCGGTGTTACAGAATCGAAAATACTGATAAAATAGGCAGACAGATGTTTTCATACAGTCTTTATAATAAAATACTAACAAGTTAGTCAATTATTACAACAAAGTTAAAAATACTTTAATACATTATTTGTTTATTTTGTTGTTAAACTCAAAGCTACACAGTGAGAGAGCTGCGCCTATGCCCACCGCAGAGATCGGTCATCAATTTTTAGCGTTATAAGCCCCCAAGTTTACCGCTGAGCCATCGGGTGAGGTTTATGTGTTAACTACGGTTTCCGTTATAAGCCCTCAAATTTACCGCTGAGCCATCGGATACCGTTCATGTGTTAACTACGTTTTTCGTTATAAGCCTCCAAGTCTACCGCTGAGCCTTCGGGTGAGGTTTATGTGTTAACTACGTTTTCTGTTACAAGGCCAAAAGTAAATAGCAAGTATAACTTGCACGTGAAATTATAATATTGTTTAAGTATTGAACAAAAAACATTAAATGGTTTAAATCTTTTGGATGAGTTTCCATATGACAGGTGTTGTCCGGTGAGGATGTGCGAAGTTAATAATTTTAGCATATAAAATAATAATGTCAGTTTCAATTATAAAGTCTTGGGATCAGTATAAATTAAGAAATACTTCATACCAAAGTTATAGCCCCCCCCCCACACAGTGGTATGTCTGCGGACTTCTAACGCTAGAAACCGGGTTCGATACCCGTGGCTAGCACAGCACAGATAGCCCATTGTGTAGCTTTGTGCTTAACTATAAACAAACAAACAAACCAAAATTAAGATCGGTGTGACTAATAAAGAAAGTGGTTTTAGTGATGGATAAATATAAAAAATATTATAACTCACTGTTTTGTGTATTTTATGATTTTAGTGGGAAACTTTACTATCCAATATTGGAGGAAACATGGGCCTGCTCGTGGGGATGTCTGCCATAACTGTAGTCGAATGCGTTGAATTTTTGTGGGACGTTCTACGTTTCGTCTTGGGATTTCCTCAACGTATACACACCAAACAAGTGAAGGCTTTTCCACAAAAGAGCTCCACACAGGTTAACCATGTGGGGATCTGCACATGTAGTAGCTCCACATAGGCTATACTTGTGGGGATCCACACACGTAGTAGCTTCACACAGGTTATCCCTGTGGGGATCTGCACACTTAATAACTCCACAAATGTTATTGCTGTAGAAGTTTGCACACGTAGTGATCAAACTACACAGTATTTCACGACAACACACTAAGCTAAAGCGAATTATTTTACCAAAAGTATAATCTTGTTTAGCGACTAATACTCGAAATAAAATATTTTAAGATTTACTTTTGGTTTGACATCAGTTCATGTCTGCCTGTTATTTACATGGTTTAGCTGCTTTGTTTCAAATCTCTAAATACGTATTCAGCATTTGGAGTCTTACTGTATTTTCAGTGCACAGTTTCTACTACAACTATATCTAGTTAAAATCTGTTGCCGTATTTATACTCGTGTACAATGCCTTCATACGTAAATATCTACTATTAGTCTCTTAGTTACCTTTCATTCAAGTATATATTATTAGTACTTAGTGAACTCTCCGATCTTTTAACAATTCAACAATTAAAACGTTTAAATCACTATTCACTATATGCTGTCATTAAAGTGTTTTGAAAAGAACAAACGTTGAAAAAGATTCATGTTATCCAGTAAAATGTATTTTGATAAGCTTTAATATCGTCTAACCTATATACAAGTTAGTGTGTGTCACGTCACGCCACGCTTGATTTCTCGAAATAGAAGAAGTCGTAAAAGCCAAAGTGCATTTATCCAGATAGAATAGTTCGATTACTGTCTGGCCATTACGATTTTTAGTGACGGGGGGGGGGGTGCCGTGAAAACTTATAAGAGTAGTGAGTGTTGGTATAATAAGCTTAAAGGAAAGATGTAGTGTGGGATCACCTAGTCTTGGATCACCAAGTGCATAAAATTTATCATGAAAGTAAAAATATCGATACAATTTTAAACTTAAATCGTTTCTGAATTAAGCTATTTTCTATTATGTCACAAACGTTTTTAATATTAAAAAAACCTCTTGATAAACGGAGACTCTACGTTAAGAAATCAACAAATATTTTTAAATTTTGTTGTCTATACATTTCATTTTATACTTTCAGTACATAGACTAACAACAATATTAGGTTACTAGCTGGAGTACCCGTCCCCTGGACGGAAGTTAAGTAAAGTTATGATTATTGAAAGGTTATCTTAGGACATGAAAAGTTGATTCCCTTATATTTAATTGTAAAAAACGCAAAAACGGACCATAAAAAACTAGCAAAACACAAAATTGAAAACTTAGTATATATATATATATATACCTTCCCATAAACCCAATGAATCTCCATACCAAAATGGTGAGGATCCGTCTACAGGGGGCGAAGTAGTGGTAAAAAACACAAAACTGAAAATTTATGTACCCCGACATAGACCTAATGAACCTCCATGCCAATTTTGGGTGAAGATCCATCCACACCCTGCGAAATAGTTATATGCACATACAACAGGCAGTACTATTATATTTATATCGATACTTTTGTTGCTAAGCAGCATGACATAAAAGCCATTGTCGGAACGTAGTGTTACCAAAACGCACTGGCATTTCTATATATTAGAAGTTGTTAATCTAACTGATTTTTACCAATAATCATTCTATGAATACGCCACAAATTCATTTCATGAATGATCTTAATTTTGATTGGCTCTCAAAGGAACTTACGTTTAACTAACTCGACTGTACTTCTCTGCCTCTTTGTTGGTCAAGCTTGATTTCGCAAAATTTGTTTATTTCACATAGCTATGAAATGTGAGGTTAGGGTATATTATAGGGTGGGGGTGTTTGCCCCGTCATAATTGACGAGCTATACGCTAGTGTTATAATAATGCGCCATTTAACGTATTATATTATAAAATAATTACAAACTTAAAATGAAGTAATAAAGACGTTTGCTCTGTTTTCAAAAAATATTATTCTACAGTTCTGTTACGGCTTCTGTGATGCTTTCTACAGTATCTTAACATCTTGAGAACAATACTTATTTCATGTCCAAAACGACGAGTAAAC